TGGGTTCACACCATTCTCCTGCCTCAGCCTCCCGAGTAGCTGGGACTACAGGTGCCCGCCACCTCACCCGGCTAATTTTTTGTATTTTTTTAGTAGAGACGGGGTTTCACCGTGTTAGCCAGCATGGTTTTGATCTCCTGACCTCGTGATCCGCCCATCTCGGCCTCCCAAAGTGCTGGGATTACAGGCTTGAGCCACCGCGCCCGGCCGATGTTTCTTTTCTTTACTGGTATTTGGGCAGAAGATGGCCTCAGGGTCCCCAGGTTGTGCTACATGAGATCAGAGCATGAGTGACTGGGTGAATGAATGAATAACTAAGTATGAGTGAGTGAGGCCAAGGCTTTAGGGAGCTGGGGGTACCCCCAGCTCCTGGTCCTGCCCCTCGGGGGCCTCCTCCTCATGGGTCCCTGTGCTTACAGACGAGCTGGAGACCACGGGTGCTGTCAGCTACACAGTGGAGCTGAAGCGCTATGGGGGCCCCCTGGGCATCACCATTTCGGGCACGGAGGAACCTTTTGACCCCATTGTCATCTCAGGCCTCACCAAGCGTGGCCTGGCTGAGAGGTGAGCTGGGGCTCTGTGGGGACACATGGTGGGCTCAGGGAACACAGGAAGCAAGAGCTGGGTCTGTGGCAAAGCCAAGCAAGATTCTGACCTCTGTTCCAACATTGACACTGTGGGTGACATCGGGCCAGTCACTTGCCCTCTCTGAGACTCAGGTCTGCATTTGTAAAATGAGTGTCAGCCCCTGCCTGCCAGGGCAGAGGCCCACACCCCAGCAGACCTCCTGGCCCCAGGTAAGCACTGGGCCAAGGTGTGTGCATTTTTCTGCTCCCTCCCTACCTGTGTCTGGAAGGTCAGCCCTGCAAGGCTAGTTGGAGCGCCTGCTGTGTGTGGAATAGGATGGGGCAGTGCCCCAGTGCCCTGGTCCCAGCACTGCCTAGGGCTTTCCTGAGGCATTGGGGGACTGTCCCTGCTGCCCCTAGACTCTGAAACTGTGGCAGCTGAGGGAGCTGTAAGAATGGAGCCCTGTCCCAGGGTGAGGTGGAGGTCAGAGATGGAACCCGACCCCCAGTGTGGGTGAGATCGAGCCTTCTCCCCCTAGCTGGGCAAGGATGAATCCAGCAGGCAAGGAAGCGATGAGCTCCCAGCACAGCGACGAGCGGGCTGTAAAAGGAGAGCCTGGTGGGGGCTGCAGGGGCAGGAGGCGTCCCAAAGGAGGGCACCGCGCAGGAGGGGCAGTGGCTCGCTGGGTGGGGAGAGGATGGGAAGGATTCTGGGGCTTGGACCCTGCTCCTGGAGCACCCCCTGCTGGACACCTGGCAGACTGTAGAGGTCGGTGTGGGACCTTCTGACCCCAATGTCTTCATCAATTCCAGCATGTGCTGGCACCTACTGTGTGCCTGGCCCCTCTGTCCTGGATGCTGGGGCTGTACAGACAACCCTCCTGCCTTCGCCAGGCTGATGTAGCTCAGTGCTGTCCAACTGCAATATAATTTGAACCACAAATTTAATCAAACACTTTCTAGTAGCCACATTTGCAAAGCAAAAAGAAATGAAATTCATCTTAAATATATGTTTAGTTCAACATGTAATCAACATAAAAACCATTAAGAACATGTTTTATATTCTTTTTAATATTACATCTTCCATGTCTGGTGTGAATCTTCTGCTTTCAGCACATCTCAATTAGGGCAGTCATATTTGAGGGGCTCAGCAGCCACCTGTGGCTGGTGGCTCCCATACTGGACACCACAGCTCTGGTCCCCTCCCTGAACCCACCATTCCCTGCCTCACTCACTGCCCTCGTCCCCGGGGAAGTGCAGGGCAATGCCCAAGCATGACTCTCCAGGAACTCCCGTCTGGGGTGACATCTACAGCCCCAGGGGTTCAAGATCCCCAACCTAGTCCTCTGCCTCCTTTTCCTCTACCTGGCTCAGGTCACTCTGAGCGCCTGCTACAGCTTCTTCCCTGCTCAGCGCTGGCTGCTCCTCAGAATCACCTTCCTGCCCCACCCCCACAGGTACTATTTAATTGGTCAGATGTGGGGCCCAGGCATCTACATTTTCAAAAAGCTCCTCAGGTCATTGTAATGGGTGTCCAGGTAGAAAACCACTGGGCCACAGCAGTGCTGCTGCCTGGCCTCGCCAGCACTTCATGCCCTACTGTGAGGTCTGCTGGGTGCTGGTGATTATGCCCATTCTCCAGGTGGGAAAACTGAGGCCCAGGAAGGGGCAATGGCTACCAAGGGTGTCTGCTGGAGGGAAGTAGGAATCCATTCCATTCATTCACTCCTCAGTTATGATTTGATAATAAAATTAGTATTACCACCCCCATTTTACAGATGAAGAAACTGAAGCTTGGGGGTTTAAGAAAATGGCCCAAGATCACATAGCAAGTATTTGGCAGCTAGTATGTGGGATTCAAACCATTCTCAAAACCTGTGCTGGACACTGGTTCCAGAACCTAATTTTACAGTCAGGTGGGAATCCCCTCCCAGGTTCTAGATTTTATATCTCTATTAATGTGATCCAAGATCATACTTGTGGCTTTTGTTTTGTTTTTGGCAGCTGGGTTTAACTGGGGTCAGCCAGACTTCTGCCTTGTGACTCTCCTGGGTTCCCTGAGGGCAGACCACCACTCTGAGGCCCTGAGTCTCTAACTCCCTTTCTCCGCCCTGCATCCACTCCTCAGGACTGGTGCCATCCACGTGGGGGACCGCATTCTGGCCATCAACAGCGTTAGCCTCAAGGGCCGGCCGCTGAGCGAAGCCATCCACCTCCTGCAGGTGGCTGGAGAGACCGTCACACTGAAGATCAAGAAGCAACTAGACCGTGAGATTCGCTTTATGCCCTGGGAGCCACCCAGCAGGTTTAGGAAGGGCAATCCCTCTGTGCCAGGCTTTGCCTGCACACCCTCACAGAGTCCTCACTGCAGCCCTGTGGAGGCGGGCCTGCGATGGCAAAGGAGATAAGACTCAGAGAGGGGAGTGATGAGCCCAAGGCCACACAGCTGGCGTGGGGCAGAATCTGGGTCCGAGCCCTGTTCTTCATTACTTCCTGCCTCTTGAGGTGCTCACGTGTGTATGCTTCATGGCCATAACTCATGCATTCCTCAGTTGCCCCTGAATATGTCCCCATGCCGTGGTAGAAAGGCCACCATAGGCAGTGGAAGGGGCCTGAGCTAATCCAGGCTCCACTGGTGCTCACTGCGTGATCTCCGGCGTGCTGCTCAGCTTCCCCGAGCCTCAGTTTTCCCATCTGTGAAACAGGTTTGCTTATTAGTGTGCCACAGCCATATGTCAGCTCAGAAGGGCTTGCTGCCTGTGAGTTTCCAGACCAGGCTGAAATGCAGAAACAGGCTCACTGTGAGTGTCTCTGAAGTCAGAAGTGACACCTCCCTCTCCTCCCAGGCCCCCTCCTACCCCGCAAGTCGGGCAGCCTCAGTGAGACCAGCGATGCTGATGAGGACCCAGCAGAGGCCCTGAAAGGAGGACTGCCAACAGCCCGCTTCTCACCGGCTGTGCCCAGTGTGGACAGTGCTGTGGAGTCTTGGGACAGCTCGGCCACAGAGGGTGGCTTTGGGGGCCCAGGTAACACCTTGGGGCTCTTGGACAAGTGACACGCTCTCTCTAGGCCACCCCAGCTGCTGGGCCTGTGCAGGACTATTCGCTTGCCTGTTCCTCCCTCCTGTTCTCCTCTCCTGGCATCCTTTAGGGGCCCTTCCTGAAGGAAGACCTGATTTGGCTCCATAAGCTGCTCTCAGGGCCCCTTGCTCCTGGGAGCATGGGCTGCAGCCATATCTCTTGATTTAGAACCATGGGTCCCATGCTGGCTGCTTAGCTTTCCCCATTGTGAAGTTATGGACAAAGTTGGTCTTTCTTCTACTGTTTCCTTCCTTCCTAGCCCAGTGTCTGGCACACAGTGGGTGCTCAGCAATGTTCATTCCATCCAGTTGAAAATATGGAGGCCAAAAGCCCCCTCCCACCCCAGCCTACAAGACCCAACGTGGGGCAGACACCTCTGGGGCTCCCTCCCCAGCCAATGCATGTTGAGACCCGGAGATGGCCTCAGGGAGGCATCTGAGTCTGGTGGGTGACCAGCTGGCCTCAATGACCCAGAGCCACTGGAACTCCCCATGGTCCAACTCAGAGGACTGAGGGGGTGAGGGGGGTGATGCCTCTACGGGCTGTAGGTGGCTGCCAGCCCATTCTTGCCTGTGGACACCTGCCCTCCCTGGGCCTCAGCTTCCCCATCTCCAGCTCTCTGTCAGCATCTCTCAGCTCACTCTCTGGGACTAGACCTTCAGAGCTCCCAAGGGCAGGAAGTGGAGGGGGAGCCACATGTTCAGCCTCCTTCCCTGGCAGGGTGATGGCCAAGCCCAGGCCGATGGAGTTGAGACAGAGTCACGGAGCCCTGGGCATTAACTTCTGGATGACCAGGAGCTCCAGGGAGATTCTGGGAGGCAGAGGCCCTCAGAGGGCTGCGTAGACGCAGGCCCAGAGAGGAGCAAAGACCTCCCCAGGGTCACTCAGCACAGCTGGAAATGGGGCAGGCAGGAGGGCAAGTAAGGCCGCAGAGAACACAGAGGCCCTCTCTCCACCACCAGGGTCCTATACACCACAGGCAGCAGCCCGGGGCGTGACCCCCCAGGAGTGGAGGCCTGGCCGGCTGAGGAGCAGCCCCCCCACCACCGAGCCCCGGAGGACGAGCTATACCCCAACCCCAGCTGATGAGAGCTTTCCAGAGGAGGAGGAGGAGGAGGAGGATTGGGAGCCGCCAACGAGGTCTGTGGTGGGAGCACCGTGAAGGAGGAGGGAGTCATAGTGTCTTGGCTGGGGTGGGTGAGGGTGCCCATGCCAAAGTGGTGGGGGAATGGAGAGTCTTGGCGGGCTCCTGAGGAGGGGTGCCTCCTGGGAGAGAAGCACTGAGCAGAGCCACCTCAGCGAGGCTGAGACAGAGGGAAGGGTGGATTGGTGGAGGGCATGGCAGGGACGAAGGTAAGGAGGTGGAGAGCAGCCTGGTTGGCCCTTCCCAACTTTGGGCATCTCCTGTTCTCAGAAGAGCAGCAGCAGACTCAGAACTTGAACTCAGGCCTACCTGACTTACCCCAGATGGCCTGATGGCCTCCTGCAAGGGCCCTCAGCCCACCGGCACCAGACCTGGGCTGTGCTGGGTGGCTCTGAGTGGCTCAGCCACTGGAGAAGGCTCCTGCAGAGAGCAGGCTGTGGAGAAATGCTGTTCCTCATCCGGTCCAGGCCACCTTCCCATCGTGGTGCTTTTGATCAGGCGGTTCCTTCTGCCTCAATGCCTTTTCCTGGTCTCTCCTGGAAAATCCCTACTCATCCCTCAAAACTCAGCTCAAATTCCCCTGCCTCTGGGAAGCTTCCCTGTCCTTCTCAGGCAGAAGGGATTCCTCCCTCCCTCCTGGTACCCACAGCTGCTCTTACAAGTCTCCTGGTAGCCAAACCACCTTGTGTCTATCTGGCTAATTACTTGGCTGTCATCTCTACTGCATGGCACCCCAGCTCCATGTGTGGCCCCTAGTAGGTGCTCAGACATATTTTGCAAATGAATCTCCAGCTGTGTAAGAACAGGGGCCACACTTTATTCTCCTCCATATCCCTGTGCCCAGCAGAGGACTTAGCTCAGGAAATGCTTGTGAATTGACTTGAATAGAGCAAGTGTCCTTCAGCCTCTGTCTTTTCATCTGTAACATGGAAAGGGAAGGAGGCAACACATCCTCATTCCTAAGCTCCCTAAGAGAGCAAAGCTCGCGCGCCTTTGTAAAAGAGTAAGTGCTGGCCGGGCACAGTGGCTCACGCCTGTAATCCCAGAACTTTGGGAGGCCAAGGCAGGCGGATCACGAGGTCGGGAGATCGAGCCCATCCTGGCTAACATGGTGGAAACCGCCTCTACTAAAAATACAAAAAGTTGGCCAGGCGTGGTGGCGGGCGCCTGCGGTCCCAGCTACTTGGGAGGCTGAGGCAGGAGAATGGTGAGAACCTGGGAGGCGGAGCTTGCAGTGAGCCGAGATCGCGCCACTGCGTTCCAGCCTCAGCAACAGAGCGAAACTCTGTCTCAAAAAAAAAGAAAAAGAAAAAGAAAAAGAAAAAGTGCAAGTGCTTTGTAAATCGCAGCATGCCTTGTAACCATTGAGGTCTTTGTAATTGGCAAGTGGCTTTGTGAAGTGCGAAAAATGTGAATTGTGAACTTTCTGAGACTCTGTTGGAACTGATAACAGACTCGTACAACCTGCGATGGGCGTTATGGGTGGTCTCGACCCTACCCCAGCACAGATATATCATCCCCTCCATCCATCTGTGTCCTTGCTGGCTCCAGCTCTGTCCCTGTCACTGTCCCACGGTGCCGTGTGTCTGGGTGGGGCCAGGGGCTGTCCTCTGGGGCTACACCATGGATCTCCTCTCTGTTTGTTCGTCTGTTTGTCCTCTGTCTCTCTTCCTAGGCATCCTGTGTCACCGCTCTCCACCCCGTCTCATCTGCCCTTGTTCTAACTGGCCACCGACAGTCCTGGTCACCCCTAACTGCGTCTTTCCCCTATTCTGTGTCACCAACCACTGCCCTGGGGCCCCAGAACTGCCACCGAGGACGCTCGCCTGCCTGCCCGCCCACCCACCCTATGGCCCCTCGAGCCCAACGCTGGGCCCTGGGGCCCCGAAGACTCCTCAGGCCCCAGCCCGCCCACCCACCTGCCAGGAGTTGACGCTCTCTGGTTCCTACGTTACAGCCCAGCCCCTGGCCCTGCCCGAGAGGAGGGCTTCTGGCGTGTGTTTGGAGAAGCTCTCGAAGACCTGGAGTCATGTGGTCAGTCAGAGCTGCTGAGGGAACTGGAGGTATGGCCGCCTGCCCTGCAGGCCTTCAAGGGGCACCCGGGGCTGTTTACTCTGGTGTGTGTGCAATGGGAGGCAGGCATGTTGATGGTATCATGCTCATGTGTAACGTGTATGTATGCACTCACCTGGGCACACTCTGGGAAAAGGTGTCTTCACATATTTACAGACTGTGCACGGACTCATGTGCAAGTGTGATTGAGAGCACCGTGGTACTACACATTATCTGTGTGGACATGAAATATGTGTGACATCATCATGTGTACATTGGGAGCGTATGTGTATGCATGCATGTGAACATGCTCATGCATGCACACTTGCAGAGTGTATTTCAGAACACGTGTGTCTGAGTGTGCACATGTAGTTGCACAGGGGCAGTTTTAGTATCTGTGTATGTGCGTGTGATACATGAATGTGGTTGTGGGCACGCCCTGTGGAAGTGTGTGAGTGTTGACATCAGTGACGACAGAAGATAAGGGGCTGTGGGAAACCAGAGGTGAATGTGGCTTTGTGTAAGGTCAGTATTGTTCAGTGCATAGAACAAGCTGTCCAGGAGGATCCAGAGAGGATCTTGCTAAGTCACATCCCAAGCTTCCACTCTGAGAGCAATTTTATTTTATTTAAATCTCTATTTTATCTGCGCTTTTGCCCCTTTTTATTCCTAATATTGTCAATTGGGGTCGTTTTTTGTCTCTCCATTAGTCTTGCCAATTACCAGGTTTCTCAAAGAACAAGTTTTTGGCTTTATTATTTTCTATTTTATTCATTTGTTTGTTTAGCTTTGATATTCTCTTCCCTCTACTTTATTTATGTTTAAGTCATGATCCTTTTCATGGTTTCTTAGTGCCTTAATTTTCAGTCTTTCTTGTTTTTGAATAATGTATTTTTTGAAGTTATGAATTTACCTGTAAGCATTGCTTTGGCTGCATCCCAAATTTTGCTAATGCACTTTCCACCTTAAATTAAATTCTGTTTTGTCTCATAATAATATTGTTTCATTAAATTTATTTTGGTGATTATTTGCCTGTCTTTTTTTTCAATTTGCTTATTTTCTCTCTCTCTCTCTCTTTTTTTTTTTTTTTAGACAGAGTCTCACTCTGTCACCCAGGCTGGAGTACAGTGGTGCAATCTTGGCTCACTGCAGTCTCCACCTCCTGGGTTCAAGTGATTCTCATGCCTCAG